GTCACTGAAGCAGTCGGTGTGAGCTTAAATGGACTCCAGAGGATGGAAGAGGACTGGAAGGCCTGGAGGAATGTTGTCCAACGGGTCACAATGGGTTGGACACGACTTCGCAACTAGCAACAAACAACAGTTGCTTTTCTTCATTTCTTTCAAAAGCACACAGGGTGTCCTACCAACCTTCATAATAATGAGTTCCATGCTAATAATGTCATCTTCTGTGCAAGCACCATCGGTGACATAGGCAAACTGATGAAGCTTTGGTGGGTAGATTTCCTGCAATAAAGAAGAGAATCAATATACTGGCTGTTCTGACCCCCGCTCCATACGCCGAGGCACTCCAAGACAAGATTCCTGCTAGACAACTTATTCATAGTAAATTAACACACCGACAAGACTTTAGCAGCACTCCAGACTTCCAAGATAAGAAATACACACGAGAGCTTCTCCAGCGTTGGTATATTAGTTGAATCCTGCAAACAACCTCCTCCCAAAGTCTCTCCTTATATGGTCTCTTGGGAGGAGCCTAATTACAACCACCTGGGTCCAAGTATCTCTTGTATCTGCGTGGTTGCTGTCGTTGCTTATATGCCCGCCTTTGCCTGGCGTCCGGGACCAACTCCCTTAGCTCCTCCCCACTGCTCCAAGGCCTGACGTCTTCACCACTACTCCAGGGCCTGACGTCATGAGCACACTCCCTTTGGCTTTCACCGCCTCCTGGTGACCCATCAGCCTCTCTGGTCTCTGCTCGGAGTCTGAACCCTGTCCAGGGTCCTCCACATCTTCCAGAGCCGACTCATAGGGCCCCTCACTATCGGAGTCTGTTTGCAGCTCCAATTGCTCCTGCTGGGCCACAACGCTGGCCCTATTCTGTTGTATGAAAAGCTGGCAAACTGGCAAAGCCAGGTGCTTATCTCACATGGATTTACATTTTGGATAATAAAAACTAATTTGAACACGAAGGGGACTTTTTCTGAGCCTTCATCAACTGAAGCCAACCGTTAATGACAAATAACACAGAAGAGCAGCTTATATAACCTGGATCTTGCAAGATATGAAAACGTCTTAAGGCCAGCCAAGATAAATGATTTTTTGTTAAACAATCCATCAAACCAAAACAGCAACTGCTGTTTTTTTCTTCCTGCCGTTTCTTCAACTGGTTGCATTTTCTACCTTTTTCTTCTCCATGGGGAATTCTGGAAGTGGATGCTGCCAGTTTAGGTCAGTGTGCCCGAACTGGTAGTTCTGATTCTGCGCAGTTCGGAGAACAGGCAAATTAGACTACCGGCTGGCCCCGCCCCTGCCTGTTTTTCGGGCCAAAAATCAGCCTGAAAACAATCCCCAAAAACGGCCTGAAAATGACCCAGAAAATGGCCAACAAACAGGCAATTTTTCAGACCGTTTTCAGGCCATTTTTCCTGCCAAAATTGGCCTGGAAAATGGTCTGGAAACAGCCCCCCAAAAGGCCTGAAAACAGCCTGAAAAATGCCCCCCAAAACAGCTTACCCAGCTTCTCTTCCTCTTGCAGCCAGCTTTCCCAGTCTAGCTTGACTCCCTCCCTCCCTCTCTTCCCCCACCTCTCACACACACAGAGGTTGGATCTTTCTTTCCTCCCCCCGCATTGGAGACCCCTGGATTCCCTCCCCCCAACCGTGCCTGTCCCATACAGGTACCACCCGCACAAGTGACGTAGAGTTGGCCATGCCCACTCAGTCACGTAACACCCCTCCCCGCCAGCTTCCATCCCACCAGCAGAGAACCGGTTGTTAAAAAATTTGGAACCCACCACTGAAACCCACCCTCTTTAGCTTTGCCAATTTGAGAAATGGTGCCTCTACAGCTTGGCTCAAGTACCGCGGAGCGAGATTTTACCTCCAATTTAGCAGCGATAAATAAAGACGTTATCCCAATCAGCTGAAGGAGCGTCTTAACAACATTCTGTTGTGTTGACATAAACCGATCGAAGAAATCCTGAGCCAAATAAAACGTCTCCCTGTGAAGCCTGTGGACCTCACAAACCTGCAACACAACAAATGAACAATGCTTTACATCAGCCACGACTCTGCCCTTGTAAGAAATCCACATGGTTAAGAGATCGAATTAGATCTACATTTGCCTTCTCTGTAACACAAATGTATTCTTGCAACCCAACAGCTATTTTATTCTTTGCAGTAAATTTCCTTGCTTATCTCTTTTCAGAGCTCAATAAAGAAACACAGGTAGTCCTTGCTTAGCGACAATTGGAACCGGCAGCTCCACCACCCAGAATCACAGTCATTAAGAGAAAAATCACACAACCGCAAATTGTGATATATATTTTTTTACTGTGTTTGTTTCTCTGTTAATTCTGCTTGATGCAAATGGTGGGATGCAAATAGTGACCACGGGATGCTACAGCAGTCATCCATGTAAGGATTGAACACAAAGTGGTAACTGTGAGTGGTTGCTAAACGAGGCAGTCAGTAACTGTAGGCTAGCTGTATTGCAACATTTTGTGGGTGCAGAAATAACATGAACCGTATCGTGCCACACTAAGGTGTTCCCCGTCCCGTAAGGCGGCTGCAGGAGTCCAGAGTGGAACATAAGATTTGTTCTTGGAGAAAGAATACATTTTGGTGGGTTCTTTGCAATGGCAGTGAGACCATCAAGAATCTTATTCCAACTTGTTATTTCCTTTTGCAACCAACCATGAGATCAGGGTTCCTCAAAATGGCCCATATCGGACCCTAAGTTTAATGGGACTATCCAAGGAATTGAGAATCAATAAATAATGGAAGGTCAATTGAGGTCAATTAATCTTTTGGGGCTTCTGAGAACTCCACACCAGCTACAAGTCCTGAAGGTAAGGTTCCTGGCTAGTGGTCACTCAGTTACCCAGAGTTGGAAATGTCAGCCACTCCGAGCCAAAGATAAGTTATGGCATTTAATTAACAGACAGACAGGTCCTTGGCAGCAAACTGGCATAGACAAGCTTGGGCAGCAATCCAGCACAGATAAGGCTTGGCAGCAATCCAGCCTGCCAAGCTCACAATAATGTTCTCCGACATTAGTTCCTGCGTTGACTTCTGCAAGAAGTCCTTCCTGCGTGTGCACAAGCAGTCTTTTTATAGTCTGGAGAGGAGCCTAATGACCCCCAGCTGAGTGCAATTACCTCCTGTAACTGCACCTATTAGTTCTTCG